AGTCCTAGCTACCCAGGAGGCTGAGGTGGGAGGATCATTTGAACCTGGGATGTCAAAGCTGAAGTGAGCTATGATTGTGCCACTGTACTGCAGCCTGGATAACACAGTGAGACCCCATCTCAAAAAAAAAAAGAAAGAAAAAGAAAGAAAGAAAGAAAGAAAGAAAGAAAGAAAGAAAGAAAGAAAGAAAGAAAGAAAGAAAGAAAGAAAGAAAGAAAAGAAAGAGAAATTATAGGCCAAAGCCATGTGCTTGTTTAAGGATATTTTTGTATTGTCCTCAAAAGAGGCTTTACCAAATTACCATCCAGGGCCTATAAGATACTCATTTCTCCATATCCTCACCAAAAGGCTCTCATGAAGCATTGGTGGAAATGCTTTAATTCTGATGCATTAATGACTAAAAGTCATTACATACTTGCTTAGGTTGTAAATTGCCTCCCTCTAAACTTACATAGAGAGAATTTAGGGTGTTGTCTCAGCTTGGTTCCAGTGTTATCCAAGCCATTAACCTTTCTTTTACCTTAGATTGTCACATTGTAGTATTTCACTTAAAAAAAAAACAGAAACACAACTGGGTATTATTTTTACAGGCTGTTGAAATCTGACTTTCACAAACCATAGGTTTGCTGTGTTGTTATGCTGAATGAATTAGGTGCATAATACTAGTTTTTCAAAGTGAATTTCACACTAGCTATACCTTGAAAAGTTTTTCCAAAGCTGTAAGAAGAGAAATATGATGGACCATTGCTTCAGAGAAAGGTTTTAAAAGTAAATTTCTACTTAATGCATAGGACAGTGTACCCTAACTTCCTCCTTGCCTATTCCTTAGGGACCTCTTCTCACAAGGGCTAATGCTTCACCTAAGCCATGAAAAGCCTGCTGCGAGCACTCCCTGTTCAGAGTCAGAAAAACACAAATTAACTGTTCTATTATTTTTGGTTCTAGCACAATGTTCTCTTGCTTTTCCTTGCTCAGAATGGACCCTTGCTGGGGTAGCATCAGAATGAGGATTTGGTGTAACTGTTCTGCAAGAGGAAGTAGGTTCCTCTACTGTCACGGTTTTCAAGCTTTTTTGACTGCGGCCCATAACAAGAAATAATGTTTTTTTATGATAACCCAGGAGATACACTCATAGAGACACACTATATTCATAAAAACAAAAATTTCATAAGCAATGTTTAACCTTATGTGTTAATAACACTTATCCTATGTTATTTGATCTGTTTTATTTCTTTTTAAGAAATGCTCATCACAGTCAACCAAAATGAGTTCACAACTCCTTAAAAGATTTTGACTCACAATGATTTGGAAAACACTGCATTGTAGAACATGCAGTGTTAGATCTCTTCCTAACCCTCAGAATCAGATTTATTTCATGATGGCCCCTGTGAGATAGCTTCAAGCATATGCGTGATTCTTTTTCCTTTTTTTTCCTTACCATTTACTGTGACTTCCAAATAAGTGACTCTTTTGGCTTATTTGGTGACCATGCCAATTTCTAAACATAGAACCTAGAGCATTTACATCAGACCTGCCTAAAGCTTGCATTTTAACCTTGCTTCTCTTCTTCCTTTCTTTGGTTTATTTATTATTTTTTTCTATTGCTATTTGTTCAACCTGTATTTCAGGCAATATATAGGTATTGAGGTACCAATGGTGAATAAAAGCAAGCATGCATCCAGAGGTATATTGGGAATGAAAGGAGTTAATCCAAAAGCATACGGGAAATATTTTAAAATTTTATAAATTCTGTGAATACGTATATGGCAATGCATGTTACAGGGGAACCGGATTTAATATGGCATGTTAGAAAAGCTTCTGTGAGTAGTGACGCTTGAGCTGAGACTTGAAAGGTGAAAAGATTATAACCAGCACTGGACAATATCATGAGTGCAAGCACAGGTCACACCATATCACAAACTTCTAAGGCTGAAGGGAGCATGAATTCCTAGTTGGAGACTGGAAGGAAAAGATCTTCAAGATAAAGGTGGAAAAATAAACAGGGCCAGACCTAACAGGTTTCTGTAGACCATGGAAAGAGGCGGAGGTTTTTCGAGGTTGGATAACATGATAAAACTCACATTTTAAAAATATAACTGCAGAGTAGAGAATGGATTTGAGAGGTCCAAGATTATGCAGACAGAGCTATGAATAGCCTATTGCAATGGTCTGGGTCAGGCAGGATGGAGTAGGGTGGAATAGGGTAATGATCTTTTGTTAGTTATCTTCCTTACTGAGCACACTTTGCAATGAATTTCAAATGCACTGGGACCAGGCTTGTTAATTTTGGAGCTGTCAACTCAGAAATAAATAAGCCATGATACCCCAACAAAGAAAGTTGCAGAAATGCAACAGCGAGGCTATGTGATGAATGGTTGAGGTACAGGGAAGCTCTTATTCATTTAAAAAAATCAGATGATATAAAGTTGAATATTCTAGATATTGCCCAATTGTGTTACGTTCACATATTTTACTGGATATAGTTCGGGATAATAAAATATCTATCTTCTTTCCCTCTGAGAATTAAGAATCTGTGATGGAAGGTTTTATCTCTGATGTGCCAAAGGAGAAAGATGATTTTTAAGAGTCAAACCTGCCTCCATGATTAAATAAATTTATATTTATACTGGCCAAGGGATGCATGTTGCCTCCTGAGTTTGACTAATAATCCCTTGAACATTCAAACAGTTATTAACTTGCCATACCTGGCACCTTTATAACTTTGCTCTTTGAATAAAAAGAGTTTAACCCAAGTCCCAGTAAAGATGTTCAATCAGGCTGAATTTAATAAATATATTCTGCTCCCTTGGAGTTAAATGGAATAATAGAAGAGTCCACTGGTCTGTTACCAGGTTTCTGAACTACACCTGACAGCCTAACATAGTCAACAGCAGGGAGTGAATCATATCTGTTCTATATGCTAACCTACTCTGAGTAGGTAGTTTGCATTGGCATCTAGTTATGTTTATGGTTAGTACTATCTTCTCCTGACTTTGGTACCCAACCCTCACACACCTCATTATCTCTATCCCAGCTGACACTCACCCCAAAAGGCCTTGCTTACATCCCACAATCAATCAGTCTTTCTATTACCTTAGTGGAGAATAGCCTAAGTTGTAGCAGGTCCCAGGCATGATTACAGTTTAATCAGTTCCATATTGTTTACTGAATGGCCGGTAAAATACAGTGAATATCGTTTGTGTTGCTGCAGTTGGAAGGTTTATATATCAAATAGCCTAGATCCAAGGACCTTTTCTCGTGCCTAATACACCTATGACGGAGATGACCAGCCAGTCATCGATTGAAATGAAGAATAATGTCTTCCAAAAGGCAATGCCAAGCATTTGTTTCTCAGGATTTTACAAAGCACTTCCTGTGTTTTTGTCTAAATTCCTCCAAGAGCTTAATTTCTGACATATTCTGTGTAAATCAGTCTTCAGTGATAAACATTTTATTTATTAAACTATTAGGTGCTGTCAGTATTCATTACAATGTTACCACCTCGGATTAATATTTCATTGAATTTCTTTTCTTTTGTTTGTAGGTATCTGTTTTCTCCTTTAGCACAATGGTAATTATAAAGAAGAAAAATATACCAAGTATATTTCTCCCATCATTGATATCCTACGTTTATTCTTCAGCAAATGATTTGTCACTACAAAGTGATGTGCACCCCTGGGCGCTGCTTGCAGGCACTTAATTCTTTGATTCAAATGAAACTTTAAAATGTGATTTCCATGACGTTATGTCTAAAGAAACATGTCAAAACAGTGTTGACACAGAGAACTGGACTGTGACTAGAAATCATGGCTGTGCTTTGAGGGAACAAAATAAATCACAGCAGTAGGAAGGCATTTTTACAAGCTGCTGATTGTGTACAGCAGGGGCCAGTTCTGTTCTGTGTCTCATTATCTCTTCTAATTCCTCAGCCCTATACTCCTTCATGTGTGAAGCCCATGTCTGATCCTGCCTATTCAGTGACTGGGGGTCACTGCAGATTCATGCACAGGCTCCTGTTATGGGAATCTGGCCTCTGCCACCTTCTCCAGATGCAAGCTTTCCTCTCATACCTGTTGTTCCAGCAAATCCAAGCTATTCTCTTTTCCCCACTTTCACTAGGCACTTTCCCATGTCTGTGCTTGCCTGCTTGCTACTGTTCTCTGGTATTTTTCGAATTTTACTTTTGCACCTGGAGAATGCTTTGGCACTACCATTTGTCAGTTATTTAACTTTGCGCATGTCCTCATGTGAATGGAAGCATGGGAGCAGCATCATGAGGAAGGACTGGGGTCGCAGTCACAGAATGTGTCAGAGCCCACAGATTCACTCAACAGAAACATCAGGAGATATTAGCGTTATTTTTTAGTTAGTACTATTATCGCCATTCCTCAAAATTGAGCTCTGGTTTCACCTCTGTTGAGAAGCTCTCCCTTACCTCGCCATCCCAAAGACAGAGTTAATTACTTCCTTGTACTGTATGCTTACTTCTTTATTGCCCTTCTTATATGTTTTTCTTATCATTAATGTGGGACATGATTTGCTATAATGTTGCTGGGCAATGACATTGTTACTATGGAAAAATAGGCATGAGAATGATTCAAGGAGTTCCCACAACTCATACTTTATGGACCTCCTGCAAAATATATAAGATATGACCCTTAGTGATAAATGGGTAACTTGGGATCTCTTTATTTCCTGCATTTTATTGCTATGTGAGCAAACGGTTAATGAGTGCTTACTGTATATCAAGCATGACAATAAGTATTATATTTATCGTGTTAATTCTTCTGTATGATTAAATGTGGTAGATATTATTCCCATGTGATACATGAGGAAACAAAAGGTCTAAGATCATAGAGCTAGTAATAGACTACCTACTCCCAAAGTCTAAGCTCTTAGCTCAAGAACACTCAGCTCTGATCTGTAGGGTCTCATTTGCCTCTGGGGTTTTTTAATGTGTAAATATATTTGCTAAGTTTTCTCTTCTAATGCTATTCCAGGTATTCCTTCCAAGATGAGGAAGACATGTTCATGGTGGTGGACCTCCTGTTGGGTGGAGACCTGCGTTATCACCTGCAACAGAATGTCCGCTTCAAGGAAGAAACAGTGAAGCTCTTCATCTGTGAGCTGGTCATGGCCCTGGACTACCTGCAGAGCCAGCGCATCATTCACAGGTCAGTCAAGTCCAAGGAGACAGCCATGAACTCAATGCAAGGAGAGAATCCACAACTGGATACAATCATTAAATTCTTGTTGAACACAACATTTAATCCTCATTTAATTCTTCCAACAGCACCCTGAGATAGGTTGACTATCCTCATTTTGCAGACTTTTTAAAAAAACTGAAATAGAGTTTGATTTGCCCAAGGTCATAGTAAACGACGAGATTACAATCAATAAATATTGGTACTATTTTATAACGAAGCTTAGATGTAGAAGAGAAAAGATGGCCTATAGGAACTTAATACATATTAAATAAATAATTAAATGGAGGTAGCACATGGAGGGAAAGAAATAGAATGAAAAGAAACAAAGTTCTTTGGGAAGAAAGTTTGAGTCTTTCTAACATGTGCTGTCCTGCAGTGTTATTCAATGAATCCCCAATGTGTGTGCTGTAAATGGAGGTAGAAAAAGCAATACCAATGTCTTCTGCAGTTAGAGCATGTGTAGTAAATAAAGACATACAAATAACATAAGAGGCCATAAAGCTATAGAGATAATAGAAAAAGGTAAAACTTTATAGTAAAGAAATTTGTAGTTTTAGTGATTATTTTATATATAGCATCTCATTGGATCTCTGAAGTAACTTGAGGTAAATGATCAGAGCAGATGTAATTCAACTGAAATTACGTATGAAAAAAATAATGGCTTATATATATCACCCAGATTTATTTATAAGAATTGTGATCCTAATCAACATCAAAACAACTACTGTTTACTGGTTGATGACTTACTACATGCCAGGCACCGCTAGATGCTTTATGTACATTATTTTATTAAATACTCAAAACCCAGCCAAGATTCCACATTTCATTATAATATTCCCCTTACACAGACAAACTGTCTCAATTGCCAAGGACAAATAGCATAGCCAGGATTTAAACCTAGATTCCTCTGACCTCAAAGTTAGAACTCTATGATACCAACTCGTATTACTTACACATGTGAAATATATGCATTAATTGATGTATCACTACATGAAAAATCAGTGCATGTGACTCTGCTGCTGTCATCTCTAATCCTTGGAGAATTTGCTGAGTACAATTATGTCTCAATTAGTAAAAAGTTGGCCAGATAAAATATTTCACCACCACCAGTTGACATTTACCTGTAATTAATTTTTTAAAATCTTTATTCACATATTTTTTATAGAAATGAGGTTTCACCATGTTGCCCAGGCTGGTCTCCAACTTTTGGCCCCAAGTGGTCCTCCTGCCTCAACCTCCCAAAATGCTGGGATTATAGGAGCAAGCCACTGTACTCAGCCTGTAATTTATCTTGATGAGTACAGAGCCTATGGATGAAGGTGAAGCATCACAATTTTTCTGTGCAGGTACCACAGGTCAGTTCTTTTATTATACTTTTATTTTTTTGGCCTTGACCCTACACATTAAATAGTTATGATTTAATGTTCCTTCTTTGGAAGGGCCTGTTTATATTGGAAATGTGCTCTTCAGGCACAAGGTAAATGAAAAGCAGACCAGTTCATCACGTGGGATCTCAGAAATGAATTTGCATACCTGGTGTTTTGTCAATAACTAGAAATCCTGTTCTCAAGCACTTATCTTCCCAAACTGGTTTTCTGATCCCTCAAAGCTCTTTCTGAGGAGAGACTCTTCATACTTGTAGTCTATGGAGTCCCTCTCAAGACTTTCATACTCATTCACTCGCCCCCAAATTGCCAACCACAGCCTATCTTGGTTGTGACATCACAGGTATCAGAAAGGAGGCAGTGGCCGTGAGAAACCAGTATGGCCTGAGCCTTTTTACTCTCTCCCCTTTTTCTGTTTGAAATTGGGTTCTGTTCCTTCTTTCCTTAGGCTTCACGTTCTTGGCCATCAAAAGACTAATTCTCCGAGCACTTTCACCATGTGTTTAGAACTGTGTTTCAAGAGGAATTCAGCAGGGAAAAACAACAAAAAAATTGATATGATTTTTCCCCAAGGAGCTTACTAACACCAAATACTGTTTTTCTGTTCTTTCCCTCTCTTTTGTTCTCATCATTTTGCCACTTAAATAATAAAACAAGGATTAACTTTCTGGGTTTTTTTGTTGTTGTTTTTTTTTTTGCTCTTCAGTCACACCCACAGTTATTACTTACTGCCCGTCCTCAGAAGGGCCATTTTGTACTGAAATGTCTCTTCATCATGGTAATTTATGAAAGGTAAACATGATGACATTTTGAGTGCAGTGCTAAATTGAGGTGGCATCCTTCTGGCATCAAAAACTATTCAAGTGCATTTCTGTGGCCTATATGGCCTATATGTCCCTTCCTCCCAGGTGTTATATTTTATAGGCTGTAGTAGCCTTTTGTACCTTTCCTGAGAAGATGTGACATTTTAATTATTTCTTAATTCATTTCTGTCTCCTTTGCAAAATGGTGCACTCCATGTGTTTTGCTTTTTATTGTATAACTAGTATGTGAAACAAATGTGATCCACATGAATGAATGATTGACCAGAAGCTCAGGCTTACAAATAAGAAAGATTGAAATACAAGACATCAAAGCCAAAGGTCTCAGACCTACTTGTACCTTGGTCTTTACATTAGAGTAATCATGTAATTTATCATCCAAACTAGGATACTCTGAGAGCTAAAGAGGATGCTATTAGCATTAATAATTGTGTTGGGGAGAGTCAACAGCCATATATAATCTGGGCAATTGAGGACCTATGTCAACATAATTAAGGCTTTTCAAGGCAGCATTTTGTTGTTGTTGTTGTTTTGGTTTTTTGTTTTTTTGTTTTGTTTTGTTTTGTTTTTTCAATTTTTTGTAGAGACAGGGTCTCCCTATGTTGCCCAGGCTGGCCTTGAGCTCTTGGGCTCAAGAATCCTCCTGGCTCAGCCTCCCAAAGTTCTGGGATTACAGACCTGACCATCATGCCCAGCTTCAAATAAACATTTTAATTCTAACAGTGTTCTGATAACCAGGATTTTCTGCTCTCAGAATACCAGGTATCAATTTGAAATGATGTCAAATAGCTTTTTCTAAAATGTACGTGGTAAAAGAAGCAGTGATTTCTTTGTCTAAGGAATTTAAATGATAATAACTATGGCAATCTGAGATTAGGGCTCCTGGGCCACAGAATGCAAAAAGCAATATAGAAGAGATATACGTTTCTGAATACTGTAATTCTTTTTTTAAACTCCTTCTTCAAAAGAATCAGCACGATTCATGCTGTATTTGACTTAAAGATAACAAAACACCTTTTTGTTACTTAGAAAGAAGATTGGATTGTAAAGCACATGCTGAGTTCCTAGAAATTAAAAGCGAGAATGAATAAAAGAATCGATGAAAATATAGTAGATCTCCCAGACAAGGAGAGACCATCTCCATAAAACTGAAGACATAAAATATGTGACTTCCTACTTTTAGATTAAAATCTACATTTTGCCTTTGGACGTGGTAGAAGATTCAAAATTACCCATAAACATTCAGCAATACTTGGAAGCAGGAGCAACAGTAGGCTGCTGTTTACTGAGGGCTTCCTGGGTATCAGGCTCTCTGCTAAGCACTTGTGAATTATTTCACTTAGTCTTCCCTTAGCTGCAGGAGGTTGATGGTGCTTTGTCCCCATTTCACCATCGATGAAACTGGTTCTGAAAAATTACTTGCCTAAGGTTGCATGGCTAGTAAGTAGAGGAAGCATCATGTTAAGGAAATGCAGAGCTCTTCACCACTATCCAGCCCACAGATGCTCAGCATAGCTGCAGCTCTGAAGAGAGCATGGGACATGTATGTGTGGCCACCTGCCTCAGGCACCCACAGACAGAAGTGGTACCTGTGGAACGGACAGACAGAGAACAGCCTAAAACTAGAAGCTAAATTGTGTAACAGACAAGTACTTCAGAGAAGATGATTTGGAGTAACAAAACAAGTTTCATGAGAGCTCTGAGGGTATAAAGGGGACTTTTAACAGTCAAAGCACACAGCAAGTCTAGTCTAGCAAGAAGAGCTAAGTGGATGAAAGTTCTTACTTGTTTCCCTGTCTTAGCATAGAACAGGCTCTTTTTTAAATTTTGTTTTCACTTCAGCTTTTCTGCCAAAACTGTCTAGTGCAGTGATGTTTTAAAAAACACCATGGGATCTGTTTTTACCATAAATCTCCATTAAGACATATGTAGAGCTTTGTTTTATTTTGTGGATGTTTAACAATCCGTGGACTTGAACTTTGGTAGTTTCCCAAATATGTAGAATATTCAGCTAGTTCTCTTCAATGTCAGAATCTTCCTTTGCTACAGTTGCTATAGACACAGGGCTGTATAATAACCATTAAGTGTGAATCGTGCAATTAGACAACTTTCTTGTTAGTCAAGATGTCAAACTTTATGTGTGAGTACAGCTTGAAAATCAGCTTTAGTTTCCAAAGTATGGCCAGTTCAAAGTATAATATTCTCTTTTGCTTACCTGAAATCTGCAAATAAATGCTTTAAAATATGGACCAAGTGATTATTTGCTTTTATTTAAAAATAAGATAAACAAAACTCATTACAGTCTCTTCTGTGGGGGTAGTACTATTCTATTTGTTGATTGCCAAAGTCTCTCCAAAAAATAATCTGATGGAAAGTAATCATTTAATGTAATAATCCAAAGACAAATTTCTGTTTACTCCCTTGTTAGATCTTAAAGAAGTCTCAATTATGAATTTAAGCTAATGAGATGAATTGTATGGGACAATTAAATAGTAAGTCATCTTGGATCAAAGTGCCATTTGAGCGGATGGTTGACTGTTTTTCTCTCTTTCTGAGAATTACCCCCCACTATAATAAAGTTATAACTCACTGTTTTCTAAACTTTCATAGGAAGGAGATAAAAATCTAATTAGGGCAATTTGTGTAAGTAATTGCAGTACAACAGAGAGATTTGCAAACATTTCCCACTGAGTACTGAAATGTTGAAAAGAAATAAAAGAAAATTTATGGCTGTCTAGAAAAACACAGGATAGTATTTTTA